GGTGCCAGAGGCAGTGTTATCGGATACATCTCATGGGCAGGTGGCGGGCCCCCCGGCAAAACGCTTGTCAGCTTGGGGTCAAACTGCATGAAAGTGAAGTTCAAAGTACTTAGCCTGAAGTAACCCAATGTTTTATACTTGATAATTCAAATCATATAATAATACAGCAACTGCATATGAGCCTAATCTTAGAAACTATGGTAAATACTGCTAGCAACTGGTTATCTTAGCTTAGCACAAAGACTGGAAACAGCTAACCTAGTCATCACCGTGGCGACGACAAGACTCCAGGAAGTGACTGTGCCCGGCCAGTAAGTAGTCTGGCACATAATCAACAACATGCAGCCTAATTAACAAATATGGTAAACAATATTTTTCATAAAACATATTTCCTGTGGTATTGGAAAATGTTCCTGTGGTGTTCAAATGGTACAATCCTATAGTACCGGTTCAGGTAAAGCAAATACTGTGGTACTGTACCATATATGTACTATATTTCATTAATATCATCAGTTACATTATTAAATTTACTGTATTTTGTTCAAACGAAATATAGTGTTGGTGAGCTTTAGTGGCCAGATTTTGTTACCTTGCTAGCCTAGTTGTTTGGAACCATTTCCAGTCTTAATGCTAAGCTAACTTCTAGCTATACAACTTCACATTTAGGGTGCAGACATGAGAGTGGCATCAATCTTATTATTTAACTCAAGGCAAGAAAAAGAATAAGCGTGTTCCCCAATATGTCTACTATTCATTTAATGACTGTTGATTTTTCAGACACATTTAACTATTTAGGATTTAAAGTGATTTTGTGATTCTCAAAATACTAAAATAAATTTTGGTAAAAGATAATTCATATTTGCTAGTCAGTTGACTAACAAGTTTACTTTAAATCTGTGTATAGATCAGTGCGCGGTGATCTTGTGACAGAGTGACAGAGGTCCACTGTAGTGAGCAAGGCCACACGCACCAGTGAGTATGGTGGTGGGCGATCCACAGTGCTGTACCGAGGAGGGACTCTGTCGTAATGTCTGCCCTCTTGTGCCTGGTCCTCAGACAAAGAAATTGTGTGGAGCACTGAAGATCTGTTGCCATCTTGCATTGTAGTTGTGGTGACATATGATGCTCTTTTCTTTTTTGTGTGAAGATAGAAGCAGAAGAGTACCACAGCTATGGACACCACCAAGACTGGCAATCTAGGAACACACGCCCATCATTTCAAGACTTGATTATTGTGTGTCTTAGGTCAACAATTCCCTTCCTTTATGGAGAGATTTATTCTTTCTTATTTATTTGACTACTTACATATACTGAAAGGTATTCACTACTGCAGTCATGGCTGGAATTATGTCAACCTGCTGAGAATACTGTGAGGGTAAAAATACATTTAGACATTATGCCATCCTGCTTGAAATCAATAACAATACAATTATGTGAAATATGGACTTCCATTGACAGTGTGGTAAATCTTTGAAATGAGAATACCACATAGGTAATCTGTATTCTGTTCTGAAATAAAATGTAAGTTTAAATTAGTATGAAGTTAGTTTTGTAGTAATGGACAAGCTAGCAAAACACCTACAGAATCTGATTTAATACAGTATATACAGAAAAATACAAACACAACTAGGCAGTCTTTACTTATTAGTGTAACTGATCCTGTGTGTGAGCTGACATCACAGGATATGATAACGTGCCAGCTTTTACATCTTAGTTTATGAGAGCCCACTGGAAAAATTATGTGAGAATGCAAGTGCTAACTGTCCAATCACAGAGCTGTGACCTATAGTGACCTCTTAAAAACAAGAATGCCATTTTAAAAGACCTTTGAAAATGGCTCAGCAGTGTACAACTGGAGAGGTTAAATCAAGAAGCTAGGAGCTCATGAAGCAGTAGGAATGCTGTTTGACTTTATACTGTCTGAGTTTAACAGACAGTGGACCATCATCCTACAAATCTATAGCATTACAACTATAAGTCAAGATAATTTGAATCCAGATCATTCTAACATACGTAACCTTAATGACAAAGAATTAAATAAATGGATATATTATCATTAACAGTGGGATCAGTACTTACCTTGTTTAACAATCCAAAACATACAGAAACCGTCCTGACCTGTGGGTTGTCATCAAAGCATAATGTGCCACTCGGGGAAGTACACAACGTGAACAGCTTTTACAGCATTAATGTCTTTTTTAAAGACACAGGACATAGATGTGTGCTCTCCGTCTTGCATATTTCCTGTGTATGTTGAACAAAATCTTTCATAAATCTATTTAACTCTCTATTTACTGTAGCAAATCACCACAATGGCATTCCTCAGAGGTCGATTATTAGACCACTCTTGTTCTGTTTCTACTTATGGTCCACAAATTTCTATCACAATAGCCAACAAATAACAATTTTGTGGTTCTATATTTATACAGTTATATAAATTTTTTGTGGCCAAAAAACTTTCTACTTTGCTTTTTGGAAAACAAAACTGAACTCATTTTATGCATGAATATAAATTACTTTATTTTGTAAAGCGCATACACTAAAAACTAACTACAGTTTTATTAAAAGATGTAAACAATAAGTGCTATAACTCCAATAGTTAAACTGTCAAAACATACATAATGTACATATTACCGTGTAGTGAGGTTTGAACTGAGTTGTCTTTGAAACTTCAGCAGTTCTATCCATGAAATAAAGATTCTCCTTTCCACATAGTGGATTGTTTACACACATATGTCCCAAATGAAACACATAGATGCGCTAAAGGTTATTGTAACCTGTATGGGCTCAAGGGTCAAAAAGATTTAGTTAATAAATATATATATATAGTGAATAATATTCAGAGAAAAACTTTCATAAACCTGTGCTGAAACTCACAAGAAGTTAAAAAAGAGACCTGTTGAGAGGTATCAGCTGTAAGGTCATGCCAAGGTATTTTGAAAATATGGGTACATATTCTAAGCAGAAAGTACATTTACAAAAGTTTATTTAATAGAGCAAATCCTGTCCCTGATTTCAAATGTAAAAGCTGGACTATCCAACTTGTAACCTCCGTGTGTTCATTTATTTTGTGTCAAACAGAGTGTGGAAACTTCACAATGTTCTGCTTTGAATTTGCACTCAGATGTTCACAAAAGCAGTTTCTTGTCATTGTGTAACCGCACATTGATATTTCTATTCACCAGACAGGTTTACCGTAGACTGATGCACAAGCAGGTGTTTTGAACTCATTTCTGAGCATCACCTCGCAATGTGAAAATCTTGTTGACACCTTATTTGATTCCATAGATCTGTTATAAAACATACAGTGTGTTGAGGCTAGAGGGTGTTTGAAGAAGATGAGGATGTTCAGGGTTGCTCTGAGTAAGCTGGGGGGTCAGTGTGTAATAATTGCGGGTCTGGATAGCATGTTGGTTCCAGATTGAAAAGAAAAAAGGAGACGTGTAATGACAGAGAAGATATTTGGTTGCAGATGATGAAATATCTAACGCTCTGAGGAATATTTTCAAGATAATCTTTAACAAAAACCCCCCACTCAAACCAACTTTGTATCTAAAATACATAATGCAATATGATAAATGAATGTGAACAACACAACACTTTACCTGGTATGGAGGAGGTGGACTGGCAGCAGTACATGGGAGGCTCTCTGTAAGGTTTATAATATGCTTCATTTATATCCATTACTTCCTAGTCTTCCTCCTCCTCCCGCTCCTCCTCATATAAGGGGCTACCTTGGCCAGGTCTCTCGTAAAAGAGCTTTTTGATCTCAATGAGACTTCCTGGTAAAATAAAGGTAAAAAAAATGATGTACACAGATGGAGAGTTAGTGGGCCTCGGGGGCCAGCCCTCTCCCTCTCTGCGTTTCTTTGCAAAATGGCAGCAAAAAATCCACAGAATGATTCCACAACACAACTTGAGATTAAAGGACAGCTTAACTATGCGTGCAGCACGCATACAGATGAATGTTAACGTGCTGGGAACAGAGGACATACTTACTCAATAATAGGATAATAAATAAATGACCATGTCAGTTTTATTCTCTAAATCAGGTTTCACACCTGAAGAAAACGTGAAGTCATTGTCATTCAAAATGACAAATCTGGTTTTGAAGACTGCAACTCTGTGTTACTGTTTGTCATGCATTGTGACGTTGAGTTATGCAATACATTTATAGGTAGGGAGTTCAAAGGTAGCTCCTTATCTCTCCGTATCCTTAAATCACGCCGACACAAAAAAGTATGCCCTTAAGGCAGATATAATTAGGCTACTACTTTGTCGACACAACACTACAGTTAAAATAGCCTATTACACATAGGTTAGCGTTCATGGGATGTAGCAAAAGATTCTAGATTTGAATTTGGATCAATAAAAGTAGAATTAGGCCTTTAGACTGTTCCTCCACTTTCATCCCTTCCTTAATTGAGTCAAATTTAAAGCAGCACAGATTTTTGAAGTTTGGATAAGCTGTCTTATCTAAATTGATATTTTCTTTGATGAAAATAAAGCTTACCTTCAAGTACAAGCCATGTAGTGCAGTTTAAGTAGAGTGTTGACTTGCACCAGACATTTTATAGCCTCATCGACCTGTTTAAAGTAGCAGAACTTGCCAGTGACGTAAACAACTTATCATTACTGACACTGCTCTCACCACATGGCAGTGTTGGGCTAAAGGTCGCTGGCTGTTTGGTGTGTCTTACTGATTAAGATACATTGGAATAAACAACGCAAAGACGTACTGAGGAATGGAAATCACATTATGGAGAGAAAAAACAGAATAACAGGGACACACAAGATTTCCTGTTTCAACATGTTTCTTAGGAATGCAGTCAAGGTGTTGTTGAAACATGTTGGAGGTGTCTCTGCTGGAGCTCTCTGCCCAGCAGAATGTTTTACTTTGAAGCAGGATGTTCTGGCCCAAGAAAAAAAATAAAGTAAATTCAGGCTCACACTGTGCCATTCAACACAGATGAAACTGCTCAAGGTTAACCTACTGCACACACTTTTTCAACCTTTTATTCATGCTTAACTTCTCACAACATTCCCGAAAATATTTCCCATGCTGCAGACATCTTATACATCCACCTAATGGCAAAACCATTAGTTATACAAGTGATCTGAGCAACCTTAGAAAGAACGAAATCATCCAATAACATGAACTATAATGTTCGTTAGTGTAGAAGAGGGGGAGGTGGTGGTGGTGGAGGTGGACCAGCTCTTGATACTGGTGGTGGTGGAGGAGGAGGAGGAGGTGGAGGAAGAGGACCAGCTCCTGATGCTAGTGGTGGAGGAGGTGGAGGAGGACCAGCTCTTGATACTGGTGGTGGTGGTGGAGGAGGAGGAGGTGGAGGAGGAGGACCAGCTCCTGATGCTGGTGGTGGAGGAGGAGGACCAGCACCTGATGCTGGTGGTGGAGGAGGCCCAGCTCTTGATACTGGTGGTGGTGGTGGTGGAGGAGGTATAGGACTGGCTCCTGATACTGGTGGTGGAGGAGGAGGAGGAGGAGGACCAGCACCTGATACTGGAGGAGGTGGAGGAGGAAGAGGGGCATCTCCTGTTACAGGAGGAGGTGGAGGCGGGTACATGTCATTTGATGGAGAGATTGGCGGTGGAGGGGGCGGAGGGGGTAGGCCAGTGTCCATAGAGAAGGAGGGAGGTGGTGGAGGAGGAGGAGGAGCAATCATATCAGGGTCCACATAGGCAGGAGGAGGAGGAGGCAGGTTGTTGTTGGTGGGGTTGGAGGCGGTTTGAAAGGTGGGGACTGACGGTGGAGGCACAGCAATGCCAAGACTGGATCTGCATACAAGAAGAAAATAGTTGGACATTTTGGGAAACATGTCATTCACTTTCTTACCAAGAGTTAAATGACAAGATTTATACCCCTCATATGTACTGCACATTAAATATGAAGCTACAGCCATCAGCCAGTTAGCTTCGCCTCACATTATACTACATAAAGAAACAGAGGAAAACAGCTACAGTATAGCCTGGCTCTGTCCAAAGGCAACAAAATACACCTACCCGCACCTCTAAACTCACAACATTAACAGGTTATGTCTTGCTTGTGTAATTTAATTGTGCGTCTGACTGTTTTTTTGTCCATAGCCGCCACTACCTAGTATCTCTGCTTATTTTCTAGTAACTGGTCTGATCCAAGAAATAGTAAGAATTAGAGGTGCTGGCAGGCTGATTTTGTTACATTTAACCAGAGTCTGGCTAGCTGTTTCCCCTTGTTTCCAGTCTTTATGCTAAGCTAAGCTAACTCGCTGGTTGGCTGTAGCCTAACATTTAAAGGGCAGACATGAGAGTGGTGTTGAGCTTTTCTTGGCAGAAAAGTGAAAAGTGAATGAGCACATTTCCCAATACTGTTTCTTCAGTCCACGAAGCAGAAACCTTTCCGACAGGATCATAAATTGTGCCGGTAATTTACAAGATATTATGCCCATAATGTAATAATCAGTAGAAGTGTAGTGTTTAATTATAATAGCATTGCTGTAAAAATGACAAAGGAAGACTTTGTCTACATACACAGGGTGGTCTGCTGTTCTCTTTATGCTGTCTGTGGTCCCTGCTCTCACTGTGGGCTGCTGCTCAGCAACCTGTTGAGAGAATATGAATGAAAGTTAAAAAAACAAAAAATATGGCATGGCAGCTCTACACACAGTCAGCCATACTGTACACCCTAGACATCACAGTAGGACTACAGTATGGAAAAGAACGGTGAACGCTGTGTGGACTCTCAATTTAGTCTTTCAATTCAGAATCCAGTTTACCTCAAAACTGTGTCCAATGGAGTCCAAGATGGAATATGATATTGGCTCTCTTGAGTAGCTTTGCTCTGGCTCCTTGCCCGAAGCCGGTGGGGTCATTAGATTGGAACGACTCCTGCTTTTTGGAGTAGTAGAAACACCAATCTGTCTCCTGGCTATCTTGTCGAAGTGAATAGCTGCAGCCTGGAGTGGAACACAGTGTTAACAGCCCCCATCAACAAAACACAAAAACTCAATTTTCACATTGAGAAAGAGAGAGAAAGAGAGAGAGAGAGAGAGAATCTCTCATAAACATGCTGCAACAATAAAACAAATGGAGCATAGCAATCAAAGTGACCACAGATCAACAGATGACCTGCAAGTGTAACAAATACAGCAACTTGGTTCCAAAATATACAACCAAGATTGTACTGGGGAAATGAAATAGTGATACTTTTTTATATTCTTATTTGAATGTAGTGAATTACTCCTGAAGGTCACACATTCCATGCAAAGGAAAATGCACTTTACTAATTTCTGAAAACGAAAATGTCATAAAAGATGGCTAGGATTAGGAAACCTATCATTCACATTAAACAAGTCTGTACAGTGAATACAGATTTTTAATGACAAATAACTTTCTACAAATGCGCTGTAGTTGCTTACAGCAGTGACTTTAATGAAATCAGAAACAAAGGAAACTGTATTTCTTGGTTTGTTCATTATTCTGTTATTTCATCAAACACAAAGAAAAATGGTGCGACAATGCTTCAGATATTTTTTGCCAGCTACGCAGAGGTCACATCCCTTTCTGGGGCAGAGCTCAGGTGTATGTTAGGTAAAACCTGTTCCTCACCAGTGACAGCAAGTTGACTGAGGACTCCATTTCTTTGATGTGCATGGCCTGCGAGTCCAGCAGCCTCAGCAGGGTGCTGGCCAGATTGTGGATCTGGTAGGACACGCTGGCCAGCGCCTGCGCAGCCAAAGCCTTGGTCTCTTCAATAGCCTTGGCTGAATCCTCTCCCTGCAGGAATTTTTATTGTATTTTACCAGGATAGGTTATAATGTACATACAGGATGGATGAAGTATTGAGATATTTTACCCAAGTACCACAGAATAAAAATACTCTATCACAAATAAAAGTCATGCATTCAAAATCTTACTCAAGTAAAAAAAAAAGTATTAGCATCAAAATGCACTTAAAGCATAAATTTAATAAAAATAAAAGTACTCCTATGCAAAATGCTCAGAATGTTATATATAGAATGTTTACTGGATTATTATTGATACATTGATGTAAGCAGTGTATTAATGTTGTCATGGAGCTAATTTTAACTAGCCTACTTAATATAGGCTACTGTGGTTTACTGTATAAGAATTGTATAAGAATCTTTGTTAAACCGATCATGTTTTACATGTAAAAACCTCATCTGAAAAGTAAGTCCAGCTGTCAGATAAATGTGGTGAAGTAAAACGTAGGCTACAATATTACAGTATATCTAATAGTAGTAGATACAAGTATAAAATAGCAGAAAAGTGAAATACTAAAGAAATACAAAGTATAGAACTTGAGTAAATGTAGCCACTTAAAGTTTCATTCCACCACTGGTAAAATGATTCAGATCCTTTTTTTTGTAATTTTTCCGAACAGAGCTAAAACTATGGCAAACTTATGCTTTTAGAGTTGTTGTGCCTTTTTTCTATGAGTAATTACTCACCTTAAGGAAATTGCTATCGCAGTAATCTGCGACTCGGAGGAGGTTGCTGTGGTTGTCAACGAGAGCCCTCCTGGCGGCTGGCGCCTCTTGTAATATTTGAGTTATAACTTCAGAAAAGTTCTTTCGCTCCGTCATTTCTTTCAGTTGGCGCTGCTGACAAAAAACCCTTTAAAGATTTAACTCACGGTGCTTGAAGAGGATGCAGGAGTCAGTCGAGGCAGGAAGGGGTTTGGTCGGTGGTGAACGCGGAACCACCTGAGGGTAAAGATTTTCACCGTCTCAGCGCAGATGGTTCTAGGGAAGGGCGAGCTGCACCTGGTAGACATCCACTGAAACATCTGTAAAAACATCGGTCTCATAAGGAGATATGATGTACCCTATATATTGTTATAGGCTACCGTTTCACATAGACAGTAACAAGTTACAAATGATAAAATACATAAAATACACAAAATGATACCAGTGTATATCACGATCACGCCTCATGACAGCCACTTGTATTATTTATAAAATTCCACTAGAGGTCAGTGCAGTGTAGAGAAAGGATCCTCTCTCAAGGTCTATTGACCAGATGATGCCTGTTGTAGTCCACATTGTAGATGATGATGATGATGGTGATGATGGTGATGATGATGATGACAGACTCAGTACCACAGTCAGTATAACCCAAGCAGTGAAAAGCTCACTTAGTTTGACAGAGCATCAGCTGGACTGGATGTTCCAATTTGAAATGGAACATTGTTACATAATCACAAAATGCTCCGCCAAGGCAAAATACTATGGGGTTCCATTTGTGCCTAAAATAAGTCGGCATGCTTACTGTCTATGTCGATGGTTCACATAACTGTCAACTCAACTTGCTTTTGTCGTCTGTTGCCCTCCTTGTCATTTGACTGATGTCTTGCCCTGTCTTTGCTAACTGGTCCCTGGCACCTATTTCCAGGAAAAACGCCTAAAATAACATAGCCAAAATAAATTAGTAATATCTCTTCAACCATTAGGCCTAGATGCATAATTCTGGTCTCCTTTGAAAGGTCAGAAGCTAAGGAATATAAATCCATTGTACATTAACATATTTATTTTACCATTACGGACTACATGGAGATGAAATACAGAAAAATTATGATATTTTCATCCTCGCCTGGTAAAAAAAAGCTATATTTTAATGCAATAAACCATCAAAACCATCATAAGGTAGATTATAATACACCTGAATATCTTCTAATACACCTGGAATACAACTGTAACTGTAAATTTGATGAAAAGAAACTAATATACAACAGTTATTACACAATCTTTAAAAAAAACAACAGGTGAATGTCCATGTTTTGGCCATATTTACTGTTTATATTTTCACTTTTATTGGGAGTTATCTTCAAAATATTATTTCTCTCCATACAACCACGTTCCAAATAACATAAAGCTTCCAAAACATTGAAATATTGATAAAAACAGTCAGCATATATGACCAAAAGCACTCCCGTGCTTTACAGGCCACAGCTTGAGAACACAACATCCTACAGGGCTGAAGAGTGGGCTCTTTCTCTTCGTATTGACGAGAAGAATCGATTCATATCCTGGATAGCTCCTACGGGTCGCCAGCAGAGGCCGATAAATACCGCCTCCGCCAAAGCAAACTCTTCTTCTCTACTTCAGTCTGAGGACAGAAACAAAACTTAGCGACAAAGCCGACCTCACCAAGATGGCGGCCCGGCAGATGGTCTCTGTTGACACAAAGGGACGGAAAACAGCTAGAACAGCGAAAAACAATCGGGTCAGTCCGTTTCCAAGTGACCATGTGTCATGACCTTTTTATATACAGTCTATGGTCATGACTGTGTTGTCACCCTCTGTCATCGATGTATGGGGTTCCGTTTGTGCCAAAAATAAATCGGCATGCTTACCATCTATGTCAATGGTTCACATGACTGTGTCAACTCAACTTGCTTCTGTCGTCTGCTGCTGTGTAATGACCATGCGTCGTTAGTATGTGTTGTCTCCCTCTGTCGTTGCTATGTGTCCTTTCATTCTGTCGATGTGATGCATCATTTGACTGCGCTATGGTTGTCCTCCTGATGTGTGGACTTACTGTGTTATAAAGTTGACCAAATTTCCCAGCTAAATAAGTGGCACACACCCTGGCCTTGCTGCGGTGGCAAAAGGGGCTGCCAGTATGGTCCCATCTAAGGCAGTTATTGAAGATTACACCTTGCCACATTAACGCGAGCAATCACAATATCAGACAAATAGCAATAACGAAAAAGAAATGTCAACAGTAAAGATTGGCTAAAGTCAGCAATATGTTTTAATGGGCTCCATTAAATGCTAATGATAAAGTATTAGTAATAACATTATTATGAATTAATCTTACAGTGTATTAGTTATTCATTTTCACAAAATACAAGATGAATACGAGGTCAACAATGTTCATCATCCATTGTAACAATACCAATAGCTCCACAAAGTAGAAATTAGTTAATAGGCGCTTTTCGACCAAAAGTACCAGGGACTTTTAAGTCCCCAGGTCTATTTTCAAGGAACTAAAAGGTCTCTATAGCCCACTGTTGTGTGCTTTTCCACCGTCGTCTAAAGACCTGCGAAGATTAGGCAAATTAACCAGCTGACGTAAGCTGTAGGCCTGGCTGTACACAGCAATGCACAGGCATCATTATTTGTAACCACTATCCATGAGCAACATTTATAAATGAACATCAGATTTGACTGGAATATAATGACAAACCATAGGCTATGCTTGACCATTAAAGGAGCTTTTTTGTGTTATAGCTATAATGAGGAGACACGCGATAAAGTTCGTTACACATTTAATAACAAACTGGATAAAGCCATAAAGTTCTTAAAATAACTCCAGCATAGAGAAAGCAGCACAAAAATAAAATCGTGACATTTTGGAAGGTTATTACAACATTTCCAGCCAACAAGAGCTGTAATCAGCTGTTCAGCTGGTTTTAAAGAGGAGGAGACCGACTTCAGCTCTGTGTAGAAACTTCCTGACTGATGAAAATTTAAAAACAACAACAACTCTGGACCCAGTAGTAACTCCATCAGCTGTTCCCTGTAAACACACCCAGACTGGCTGCTATTTACATTTAATGCTGACAATTGATCTCAGGCGGACAGCGGCGAGACATGCTTTTTGTGCTATTTGACTGCTGATTTATTGGTTTGCAAACAACGGTGGAAAAGAGACGAGCAGTTGCAGACAAACACCCGACATTCTCCAGTTAAAGCCAGTAACCACTACTCGCCCATTCAGAAATTCACTGCAAGGCAAGCCCCACCCCCCCAAAGTACCCGGTACATTTGTGGCTAGACTTTATTCTATTCCCAAAAGATCTGGTCTCTGTTTTGAAACATTCTCATTACAGTAAACAAAAAACTGGGGTTGTGCTACAAAGATGGACAGTAGATATCAGCAGAGGACACATACAGGTAAAACTCAAAAAATTAGCATATCGTGCAAAAGTTCATTTATTTCAGTAATTCAACTGATTAGAGTGTGACACTTTGAGCCTACAATACTGAACCTTTTCACAATATTCTAATTTTCTGAGATTTTGAATTTGGGGTTTTCATAAGCTGTAAGCCATAATCATCGAAATTATATCAAATAAAGGCTTGAAATATATCACTTTGCATGTAATGAGTCTATATAATATATTAGTTTCACCTTTTAAGTTGAATTACTGAAATAAATGAACTTTTGCACGATATGCTAATTTTTCGAGTTTCACCTGTAGTTACAGACCGGTTGTATTTGAGTCACTGAAATGGAAGACCCACTTTGCCAGAAAGTAAATAAGGATCTCACACACTGAAAACTCTGCTTTATGAAAAAACAATTCTCTTTGGTTCCTTTTCATGGGCTGAACTGACAAGCAATTAACATTAGTGTTATGAGTTGTAGTTTTTTATTTCCATTGTTTCATATGTCTATTTATTTGCCTGTTTCTCTCCTTCCTTGTCCTTGAGATGCGCAGTCTGTTTTTGGACTTTGTGTTTTCCTTTGCCCTTGTGGACTTTACTTTGGATTCAGCCACTACTTGTAAGTGTGCTCGCCTCTTGTTAAATAAACTGAACTATACCTGCCAGTTGTTCGTCCTGCGTTTGGGTCCTACCTGCTTCACCACACACGAATCTTAACAATCAGTTTTTAGGGACAAATAACATATTTTCACATAGAGGTTCATGATCACTACCTTTGACCAAAGACAGAAAAAATTGACTATTTTCTGAGTGTTTATTTGGGTCATATTAACAAAGCACAATGGTTAGACTATTTTTGTATCACTCTTGGCATTGCTGAAGCTAGAGCTGAAGATCAAAGAAGACACTACTGAACAGCCAGTCGGCACCAAAGGATCCAAACTAGTGGAAGTCCACCAGCAGTGTGCACGCCGTCAAATGGCAAAGCTGTGGTTTTATTCCATCTTGGGCTTGTGCCAGAACCCATCAGGATCGTCTCGCAGAGCGGTGCAGAGCACAGCCCCAGGCAGCTGGTTTGCCTTCTTCATGAGATCACACGATAGATAAATACTTCAAGATGCACACCAAAGTCTATGTTGGCCAGTTCAACATCATCCTACTTTCATTTGGATATTTTTGTGCTTCTGCCATGGGCGAATAGGCTACAAAGTTAAAGGGAGTCTCTTTTAATTGTGTTTGTCTTACTTTATGCCCTGTAACCTGCAAAAGTTAATACATTTCAAGTCTGATCCATGTTGTTTATAATTAAAGATTTATTGCTGTGTTTTAGTTAATGTTGATAGTGATGTGATTTACAATTTGGAGTCTGCAGTAGTTCCTTTTGAAATCTAAAGGATGTGCTGTGCCTGTTCTGTGTGTGAGTTCCTGGACCGCTAAATCTGCCCTGTGCTGGACAACTCTTCCATAAAAAATAGACTTGGTTCAGCAGAGCAGAGCGGAGAGCTAATGCTAGAGTGGGGAAAAATGACTGCTATGAATATTTGTACAAATATCTATATGCTTCTTCAAACAAGGCTCAACAGGCTAGCGCAGTGAGAGGGTCTCAATCTGCAGCTGCAACAACAAGGAAACATTTTAATCAACCTGGTTATCAAACTATATAATCCAGTGAGACAAAAATAAAGTGTACATGTAAAAAAGGCATAATAATAAGCAACCATCCTATGATGAGCTTTAGTGATGTCACCGCTGCAGTGTAAGGCGGGAGTCTCACACCCTAGGGCTAGTTTAGTCTATACCCTGAACTGTGTGGCCCAATTAATCGTTGGGGACTTATTTGTGTTCACGTGCTTCCATGTTCAAGTAAGTGCTGGATAATTGTCACCTTCATGGACCCTTGGTAAAGGAGTGACATTGTAATACAGTACTGATTTCGTGTTCAGGTGCTAAAT